AACAAAAGAGCACAAATTAAGTTTTTCTTAATTAATGTTAAATTGCCAACAGACTTCCAGGTAATAGTTTTATGGTTATCATACCTGAAGGGAAAAATAAAATGTCTATCTTGTCCTTTCAATAAATGCCATTAATTAAGAGTGGCATTTTATACATTAATTTTCATAAGCATTTAAGTATAAATTCTTTTTCTGACCAAATAAAGTACAAATAAAAATGCCTATAAAAATATAAAGAAGCTAAACTCTTCCATAATTTCATCTCCACAAAATATTCACGTTAATAAATATGCTTTTAGACTTCCAACTTAGACTGTACAATAATAAATGAATGCATTTAGCTAATAAGACAGACAGAAGGGAAACAGGTTACACCAGTAAAACTAAAACTGAATTAAAAAGTAGAAAGTTATTTATTCTCTTATAAGCAAATGTTTCATTAGTATTTTAGTATGTATCCAAAAACATTTATTAGACTGGCTAATGTATACGGAATGTTTATGTGAAATACTCCTTTCTCTGGCTTTACCTTATTGTTGTTTCATCTTTGAATTTTCGTTTTTACCTTATAAAACATACTTTCTCATTCCTCTACCCCAGAGATGATATGCAGGCTATATAAAGGAGGAGGAAAGGGAAAATTTCTGGCTACTAACAAACTGTTCTCTCTATTGAAAGTTCAAATCCTTACAAAATATCAGTTTGTATGCTTATCTATTAGGAACCAACCATGCTGGGAACTGGGATAATAGATACATAAAACCTGCACTCAAGAGAGCATTATAGACAATTTTAGTTTCTTTATATTTTTTTCTAGAGGAGAAAAACAAAAAATAACCTAAATCACTATTAAATCTTATTTTGATGTATAGCTCCCACAATTCCCACCTGTCATGGGAGGGAACCAGTGGGAAGTAACTGAATCATGGGGGCAGGTCTTTCCTGTGCTCTTCTCTTGATAATGAGTAAGCCTTACAAGATCTGATGGTTTTATGGCCGGGCGCGGTGGCTCAAGCCTGTAATCCCAGCACTTTGGGAGGCTGAGGCAGGTGGATCACGAGGTCAAGAGATCGAGACCATCCGGGTCAACATGGTGAAACCCCGTCTCTACTAAAAATACAAAAAAGGTAGCTGGGCATGGTGGTGTGTGCCTGTAATCCCAGCTACTAAGGAGGCTGAGGCAGGAGAATTGCTTGAACCCAGGAGGCGGAGGTTGCGGTGAGCCGAGATTGTGCCATTGCACTCCAGCCTGGGTAACAAGAGCGAAACTCCGTCTCAAAAAAAAGATTATCCTGCACAAGTTTTCTCTCTTGTCTACTGCCACGTAAGATGTGCCTTTGCCTTCCACTATGATTGTGAGGCCTCCTCAGCCACATGGAACTGTGCGTCCATTACACCTCTTTTTCTTAAAAATTACCCGGTCCTGGGTATGTCTTTATCAGCAGTGTGAGAACAGACTAATACATTATGTGACTAAATATTAAAACAGTAGCACCCTAAAGGAATCTGTTAGTTTTGGGAAGGGCAGAAAAAGTAAAGAAAGATTAACTCAAGGAGAGAGACTAACAAAAGCAAAACTGAGATAAGCAAGTACAGGAAGGACAGCTGGAAATTATTTTGCCAAGCATATGGTATGGAAGAAATTTGGCAGAATGGAAAATATGTTGAGTTAGGAAAAGCAAAAATGAATTATAGCCCTAGCTTAACGCAGAGGTACTGTTAGGGCAATAGGCTCAACTTCTCTCAGTTACGGCAAGAGTGAAATCAAAGTTGTGAGCCGGATGATCTCTAAGGTGCCTTTCAGTTCTACAAAGCGAAGGAGATTGGAACTAGAGTCTAGAAGTAATTTAATTTTAATACCATATTTTATTTAACCCAATATGCTCCAAATATTATTTCAACATGTAATTAACATAAAAATATTTTTATACCAAGTCTTTGAGATCTATATGTATTTTACACTTACACATCTCAGTTCAGACTAGCCACATAAAGATGGTCAATAGCTGCATGGCTACTGGCTACTATCCTGGACAGCACAGCTCTAAAGGATTTAGACAGAGGAGTTATTCATAGGCAATGGTAATATATTATTTCTTTAATTTCTTTTGAATATTATAAATCAATATCAAAATGTTTACTGAGCACCTATCATGTGCCTGCCTTCCCCTTTGCCTACAAAGATGTTTACGGTTTCCCTTTCTAAATCGGTCCTTTTCTTTTCAACCCTTTAAGTAGCTGCTTATTGTCACCCCTCTCTTCCCACCCAGATTTCTGGAGATAAACGCCATTTTATTACTTTTCTCTGGTTAACTTTTATCTACTTAACTCTAATTTACTTCTCAAGCTGTTACACTGGATTTTATAATCATATTAAGACTATTTTTATTCAGATCACCAATGACAAAACTGCCAGATCTAAAGACTTATTTCAGTGTGAGCTGAAAAGCTGAGTTTTACCTTTCTATGTCAGGTACTGAGGATCTCTTTTTTTTTTTTTTTTGAGGCAGGGTCTTGCGCTGTCACCCAGGCTGGAGTGCAGTGGCACCATCTCGGCTCACTACAACCTCCACCTCCTGGGTTCAAGCAATTCTCCCACATCAGCTTCCCAAGTAGCTGAGACCACAGGCATGCACCACCACGCCCAGCTAATTTTGCATTTTTTTATAGAGACAGGGTTTTGTCATGTTGCCCAGGCTGGTCTCGAACTCCTGGGTTCAAGTGATCCACCCACCTCTCAAAGTGCTGGGATTACAGGTGTTAGCCACTGTGCCTGGCAGAAGATCTCTTTGAAATTTTCTTCAATTGGCTTCTACAACTTCATTTATCAACTTCAAGGTCACAAAACTCTGTTTTTTCTTGACTTTTCATAGCTTTCTTCTCTGCCTGCTCCTCAAATACTATGATTTTCGGGCACTGTTAGACTTGTTTCTGTCTTAACAAATTTTCCCTGAGTGTTCTCATCTATATGTAAGGTTTAATTTACCATGTTCTGTACATTTCGAGAGCTCTCATATGATTATATGGGCTCAATTTTTCTCCTATGTCAGTAATTTTTTCTCCTAGACTAGTATAGATACCTTTATTGGACTGTCCTTTTCACAGGTATTTTTAACTTAATATAGCATTCAACACAAAACCCCTGTTTTGTAAAAATTCGGTCCAACTTTTATATTTTCATCTTAATTAACAGTATCACTCATGTTTTGAAGCCAGAAACCTAAGACTTGTCTTAGAACTCTCCTTCTCCTTCATCCTTCTCAGGACATAAGCCACTAAATCCTAACTTGTTCCTCAGAATGTCTTGGAGTCGGACCTATGCCGATCACCATCTCTTCCTTGGATTGTTTCAACTGCCTCCTCCCTGGCCTGTCAGTCACCAGGGTTTCTGGAGAATAGCCAATTTATCCTCAATGCATGCCACCACTAACTTTTCTTTACAAAGACATGTCTTCTCTGCTTAAAAACACATGCTAACTTTCCATGGGCTATAAAAATAAATCCAAATAGTCTTGCAAGGTTCTTAACTATCTTTCTGGCTTTATGTTTCCATGACATTATCATCTCCCATCTATTCCATACTTAGGCCATACTGAATTTCCCAATTTAGTACTTTTACCCAGGCTGGTCACCTCTCTGCCTTCAAACTCTTGTACCATCTGACAACCTCCTGCTTACCCTTCGAGAAATACTTAAATGCCAGCCTTTGTTTTTATAGCACTCTGGGCTTTACTGCGGATATTAAACACTCATCTTTATAAATATAAAAGTCACTTCTTACTTTACTTCTTACACATCTCCCTTACTAGACTGTAAGCTCCTAAAAGCTATTTCTGTATTTTTTTTAGTAATTAGTAGTGTCTAAGCAAAGCCTGGAGCATAGCAAGGAATCAATACAAGTTAAACTACTATTATATTATATATGGGTGGGACTTTATACCTCTCCAGTGTCTAACAAGTGCTTGCTCTCCTAGGTCTTTATTGATACATTTATATCTGTTGTTATCAGCTATATTATAGGTAATTAATTATATCCCTCACTAGACTGCGAATCTCTCTGGAAGCTTGCTACCCAAAGTGGTTCCTGAACCAGCAGCAGCTTGGCTGGCGTGGGACCTTATAGTAATGCAGACACTTAAGTCCCATTCCAGATGCACCTGGGAAACTTGTTAAAAATGCACATGTCTAGGTCTGAGATTCTGAGTCCTAAGTCGGCTTTTAACAAGCACTGCCCCTGATATTACTGCAGACAGGTCTCCACACCACACTTTGAGAAACACCGCTGTGGAGTCCATCAAAGGGACAGTACCTTGTTTATCCTTGGTGAGCTAATGAGCTCTTGTCCGAGAAAACAACACGCATGTAAAAGGGGGCAGGGCACCGTGGCAAGGGAGCACAAGAGAGCCCACAGGAGAGGATGGGATCAGAGCGCACATCATGATGTCTTGACTTCTGATCCAAACCAAAAACAGCTGCAAGCGAGTAAATAATTTCCAACTCGGGTAGCGTGGGCAGTGGCTTAGTGGAAAAGGCCAAGGAAGAGTCAAGAGTGTGCTCTGCTGCCGCAACCCGGGCCCGGCCCTTACCGTGCAGCAAGTGCTCGGTCTCCCGCAGCTCCTGCTCCTTCTCGTTCAGCAGTTTGAATACCGCCACCAAGTCGGGCCTCCTGACCTTCAAATGAGCTTCAGATCCCGCCTGGCGCTCGAGGAAGGTCCGCAAGGCCCCGCCCTGGGCGAACAGCTCCTCCAGCGGCCGGCTAACACTGCTCAGGGGCCGGCGGGCTGCGCCAACGGCCCCGCCGGGCCGCAGAAACCGGCCAGCACACCACAGAAGACTGGACCGCATCCGTAAAACGAGACCACGGCTGCTAACCGGAACCGGAAGTTCCAGACAAAGCAGGTCTCGCGACAGCACCCGGAACCCGGAGATAGCGGCGAGAGCTCACCAAGCCCCGCCCAGCGCACGCGCTGTTTTTTAAAGGATTTTCCGGAAGCCTTTGCGGGAACTTCCGGGCAAGCGTGGGAACGCTGCGAACTTCCTGGAGGCAAAATTTGAGGGGGGCCATGAGCGGAGAGTGATTAGGGCGGAGCGGGCCGGGGAGACCCTGGGCGCCTCTTCTGAAAGCCGCTTCACACGTGCCCGGGTGATGGGTGATGCGTTGGGCCGAAAGGTGAGAGCTGCAAATCGCCCCTCTTGAGTTCCGATAGCGAGAATTTCTTTCCCACTCACTGAGTCGGGTTTCCAGAGCCGCAGGGGAGGGCAGTCGAGGGTCCGCTGCAGGGCAGAGGTCAGACCCACTCGTCAGTCTCCAGTGCACGCCTGGCCCTGAATCTCCAAGAGCGAGTTTTAGTATGGGTATGCGTATGTCTATTCCTCCTCCTTTTTTCCTGCTTAGGTTTCTCTTGTCCACGGTGGGTCAGGTTCGTGTTAATAAGGACGTGAAAAATGTATTATGAGATAACCACGGAATGAATTTGCACAGTATCTGCTACGTCATTTACTTGCTTTCAGAGGAATTTGTTATTCTCTTGCTCATTCATTTTCATTTATTCCCGGTTATCTTCTACTTTTTAAAGAGGTTGAGTGATTCCGTGTTACAACAACCGACAGCCCAACAAAGCCTTCAGATACCTGCCTCCAGCAGTCCAACTCTTGTCCTTTTTCCAAAAAAACTGCTGATAGCAGACAAGTGCCAGCAATACAGGCATTTATTGGCCCAGTGCTTTAGAGTTTTCAAAATACCTGTCCACAGCTCAACATAGAAATAGATATGAGTGAATAAACACAACCAGTACAGTCCCGGGAATGCAAGGGCTAAATGCTGAATCTGGGAACTGCCACTACCTGATTTGGGCAGCGTCTACTAAGTGGCATTTCACTGTTGGGAGAGATGATATAGTGGAAGAACTTAATTCTAATTTATTCATAAAAAATAAAATGGTAAAAAATGGGAACTCTTATCAAGGTTAAAATATCCCTAGGTCATCTAATCGAAACTCTTGAGGTTAAGGACAAAATTCTTACAAAATACGTTTGCCTTGTCTCTCTTTTCATCTCTCAGCAAGACATACAAATGCAGAGTGAGTGGAAGAATGAAATGACTCTTCAAACAACAGGAAGCAAAAATAGTTTTTTGCTACTTAAAAGCTCCCAACTAATTACCTGAGTTCATTTTGCTTTGTGTATTCAAGCTACACAACTTTATAAAATTGTTCTGCTGCTGAAACCCATTTTATTTTAATCCTGATCTGAGGATAGAACAGGGCTGATGAGGATGATTTTATCTGTTAGAACAGTTGTTTCCTGAGGCTGAACTCAACTTTGAATTTATTTAATCACTTGAACTCAACACGATAAATCTCTCAGTTGAATTCTCAACATAAGTGATTTCAAGATACATTTTATTTATGAAAGTTGCAAAATTTTAATAATTAAAACCTTGTAGAGCAATGTAAAGAATCTAGCCAGAATTTATCTTCCCCCAAGTGCATAAGCAATTTAAGTAACACACAGAAGTGTACCTTTTATTCCTATAGTGTTACACCAATGAGGAAACAGTAACTTTCTAAGGATACATTGTTGACTTTATTAATTCAAAACATTTTAAGAAAGTCAGTGTAATATATGTGCCTTTTACAATAACATCCATAGGTTTCCACAATACAGTAAAATGAAAACAGCTGTATTTTGATTTACTTTGAAAACTCAAAGAAAGATACCTAGTTTGAGACTTCTGAATTTTTTCACATTATTGTCATGCTCAAATTCTATTACATGGTGAAAATTCTAGCATTTTCCAGAAGTATATTATTGTACATAGGTAAAAAGATAAAATTGATTTTAGGAAGGGGGAATAAAAAAACCAGAAAAACTTAAATTGGAGGAAGCATAATCTGGATTATCTATTCAATTTATGAGTACCCACTGTTATTCTGGCATTGCAAAATAACACCAGTGTGGTGCCTCTTAAGTTGTATTCATGCATTGAAAACTTTTTATTGTCCACTAATAAATATTGGAGTACAATATGTGGATATAGGTTATTAAGTATAATGAACATAGTAGTAAAAAATTATACACATTAGATATGTAATTTTACAAAACCAAACACATTGAAGTTCTTTTTAATATTTAGCAAACATTTAAAAATCACATACAAGAAACATATGACAAATCGGTTAAAGCTGGCCAGAAATAGATCTTTTACATTATTTCAATATTCAGTGTTCATTGATTAGTGGAGGGTAATACAGAAATGCAGTAAGCAAAATGGTTAGTTTAAATTACTTTTTATAACAGTAAGACTAACATCTTTAATATCCGAAGTAAGTAGAGGATTATTGTAATTAATTATGCAGATAGTTCAAGGGAAAATTCACTTTCACCTCTTTTAGGTGAATATTCAGGCTAAGACTTTTGGACTTTTATTTTTCCACTTCACTGTATTTTCTTTATAGCATTTATTAGTAGTCACCTAGTGGAACCTAGTATTAGTGTTGAGGAATCTGCTTAGAATTTGTTTAGCTCAGTGTACATGTCCAGAAAATTTACCTTCAATGTAATCTCTTTAAAAATATATTACTTTTCAGTGGAGAAACACAATGGATCCTATCTCAGCTAAGTGATCAAGGTTAACATCAATAGCTAAGAGTAGCCTGAAGTTTGAGAAACTCACAGCTAAGAGGAGTCCTCATGATGGTGCATGTACTTTTTGATACCATATGATAAGCACGGTACTTTACCCTTTGTGTTCTTCCAAAAAACCAAAAACCTGTGTCTACTCACGAGAAAAACATCAGACAGATCCCCACAGAGGAACATTCTACAAATACCAGTTTATTTCTTAAAAACTGTCATCAAAACCAAGGAAAATTTCAGAAACTGTCACAGCCAAGAGAAGCCTAAGGAAACATGACAACTAAATGTAATGTGGTATCATGAATAGGATCCTGGGACAGAAAATGGACATTAGGTTAAAAACTAAGGAAATCTGAATAAAGTATGAACGTAATGATCAATATTGGTTCATTAATTTTGACAGATGTCCCATAGGTATATATGGGACCTCTCTATCTGCAGTTTTTCTGTAAATCTAAAACTCTAGAATACAAGGTTTAATGGACACATTACTATTTAAAATTTTATTTTTATTTTAAACATTTTATTTTTTCTTAGAGTCAGGGTCTCACTTTGTGGCATAGTCAGGTCTGGAACTCCTGAGCTCAAGTGATCCTCCTGCCCTAGCCTCCCAAAGTGCTGGGATTATAGCCATGAGCTACAGTGCCCAGCTCATTACCAGCTTTTATTAATTTTTATTTTCATTGTAAAATTGTTAAAGAAAATCATACTGCCTTAATAGTAAAAAGAGTGCAAAGAGTGTTTTCTAATTGTCAATCTCTTATTAGTCTTAACCCTATACTTCATTTATATATTTAGCAAAAACTTGATATTATTTCTGTCCTTGGGAATGTTGTCTTATTTCCGTTGGAAACAAAATTTTCAAATTATTTATTTAAACTTTAACTTACTGTCTGTCTCTATCTATCTATCTATGTGTGTTATTGAAAGAAACATTTCATTAGATCTGAGGTGATGGTGAATTGAAAGTAGTGATTTGGGATCACATTATTGAGCAAAGCAATGACATTGCTATAGTGTTCCAGCTTAAAAATGATTGCTTTGATGAACAGCTAAATGAGATGTTTAAGATATGTTTTGGGAAAAAATAGGGGAAGGTGCATTTAATCATGGCTTTTTTTTTTTTTTTTTTTTTTTTTTTTTTTTGAGATGGAGTCTTGCTCTTGTCGCCCAGGCTGGAGTGCAGTGGGGCAATCTCACTGCAACCTCTGCCTCCCGGCTTCAAGCGATTCTCCTGCTTTACCATCCTGAATAGCCAGGATTACAGACACAAAGCCCAGCTAATGTTTTTTGTTTGTTTGTTTGTTTGTTTTTGTAAAGAGGTCTCAAACTCCTGACCTCAGGTGATCTGCCTGCCTCTGCCTCCAAAAGTGCTGGGATTACAGGCATGAGCCATTGTGCCTGGCCTAAAATGACATTTAATAAAAGCATAAAATAATTATTGAGTTGAAGAACTTTGATAAAATAATCATGTATGTCACACTTTATTTATGTTTATTTAATGCTCATAGCCATCCTGAGAATTGTTTTATTTGTCATTTGCAGATAAGGAAATGAATTCAGAGAAGATAAATGATTTGCCAAAAGTCATATGTGACAGAAATGTAACTTGAAATCAAATTTGCAATTTTCAGTTCCTGATGTTTTTACACTATGCTCCCAAAATGAATCTGTGGACATACATTTCCACTAGTAAGTATTCTATGTGGCATTCCTTTAATACAGCAATAGGAGCTAGATCTTTAGAAAGGAAATGCATCCAAGCTTACGCCAGAAATACAATCTGTTTGTTACTCTAAAAGCTTTATTTCTAACTGTTTAAAAGCTGTAAGGTAGTAATAGCAGTTAGGTGTAAGTCAGCAGTTTTGAAATTCTGAAATTTCTGAAATGAGATTTAATATGAGAAATAATGAGGTAAGAATGAATTTCACATTGCACAGATGACATATTTAAAAATATTATATTTGGTTATTGTCATCAAAGTTTGATAGTGCTCCTTTTCCCTAGTCATCTTAGAACTTTGTCACAGGAATAAAATCAGTTCCCAAACTGGGACCTTCTATCAGTTAGGGCAGCATTTTGCCTTCTGTAGTGTTTTCACTAGAGTGTTGAACAACCCCTCGAATTCATCTGAAAAGATGTCACTTGGGGCTGAAGAGGACTATACCTCTAAGAGTAATAATTTTAAAAATACCTATAAAGAAATCAAATCCAGGTATTTAGAACTAATACTTGTCATTGTGCACTGTCTTGTGTTACAAGGATATTTTAAGCATTGCAGAGAAAATCTGAAGCAAGTTTTGGGTTATCAGTTTTATTGATAAATATTTGCAGTCATAGCAAGTGAAGAATTACTAAAATTTTTGCAGATTGGATATTGTTTTCACAGGCGAGCAAACCATTTTATATTAGAAATTTGAAGATGGAAAACACAAAAATACATGCTTGAAAAATATACTTAGAAAATTATGGTCATAAACCGTCAATGTAAATAGATAGGCAAAAATATTTTTGGAAATATCTTGACCATCTTTCAAAATAATTTTTCAACGTATCAAGCCCAAAGTATTCAAATTACATGTTTGATAGACTTCTATCTATAGGCATTTCCTGTCTCTTTAAGAATTAAAAAAATATTATTATTACTATTATTATTATTATTGAGATGGAGTCTCACTCTGTTGCCAAGGCTGGAGTGCAGTGGCATGATCTCATCTCACTGCAACCTCTGCCTCCTGGGTTCAAGCAATTCTCCTGCGTTAGCTATGATGAAAGGCATCCACCACCACACCTGGCTAATTTTTGTATTTTTAGTAGAGTCGGGGTTTCACCATGTTGGCCAGGTTAGTCTTGAACTCCTGAGCTCAAGTGATCCACCCTCCTCAGCCTCCCAAAGTGCTGAGATTACAGGCTTGAGTCACTGTGCCTGGCCAGGAAATGTACGTGGTTTTCAAATACGTTTTATTTTTTGGCTTTTTAATTGTATTTTGAATTTTTTCTCTTTACATTTTGACACCAAAGCATCCAATAATTGGTAGTTTTTGGAAAAATAATTTGTCACAATTACAATATGATTTTTAAAAGTGTAAGTTAAAAGCATAGAAAAATGCATAAACTCAAAAGTAACAGGCTTTATTTTAAATCAGCTTAATGGGATGAAAGTGTGTTTTTACTCCTAATAAACATTTTTCACTTATCCATATAGTCCTTTGGCAAAACTGAACTATCAGGTAAATAAACCATACACATTTCATCTGTAAGTCAGAACCTAGGCAGCATTGAACGATACTAATAAACACCCCATGCACTATGACCACTTATCAGGGCTGGTCATTCTATGTACATATTTTAAAATTTCAAAAAAAAAAAAGATCACATTAGGGTCTTGACTTTTGCATTTCATCACTTCATTATCAAAGTTGTGTTTCACTCTTGTTGTTCATGTGCACACTCTAACACTGTCAGAGCATCTGTACTACCTTTGGATAACATAACAGCCCAAATAAAGACATAGCATCCATCCATTACTGCTGTGATTATGTACAAGCTCAATCTCTGAAGAAATCTGGATCTCCAATTTATTTATGTATATATAATCTATATCCTCGACTTTCTTTCTTTTATACCTCTAAAGTTAGGCACTGTAGAAAGTGCATTGATCGCTTTCTGTGTGCATCAGCAAATTCTAACAGTATACAAAGACACCTTGGCAATCAAAAACACAAAGTGCCCCTTTTAAAGTGCTGATTTTCCCCAGGGAGGAATTTACTCACTAGGAAAACTCAAATTCTAATAAAACAAATATTGTGCTCTTGGAATGGTAGCATAGACACCAGTTGAAGGCTTTTTTGTTTATTTATAATAGCTCTGTAACTTAAACAGAAGAAATTATATCATACTTAGAAAATTAGTAGAGTTGCAAATATACAGACATACTCTGAAATGAGAAACCCTCCCTTCAGCCAGAAATATGAGTTTACCACAGAAATGCTCACATAGCATGGTTATCAACATCTGATGTGTAAATCGGCTTTAGAATCTTTCTGAACACAACTTCCTACTCAGGTTTCAAAAGGATATACCAACTTTAAAATCTGTGTTCTACAAATGCCCAGGTTAGAGATGAGGACTCTTTATAAGGGCCCTTATCTTTTACATTTGGTAAAATATTAAAGATATTGTCAAACAGACAATTCATCTAATAGTCCAAAGTATCTTATAAAGATAACTTACGACTAGCAGGTCACCATCATATATAGTAACAACAAGAATATAAAGTCTACATTTAAAAAGATTGATGCATGCACTGTGTCACAGTATATTACATATTTTCTAGTCATGTGCACCAATTTATTGTGCCTCAAACACAGAAACAAACATGATACTACACCATACATGTGTATATATCATAGTAGCATAATAAACTCAATTCTAAGCAAGAAAAAATTAAATAATTTAGGAACAATAGAACTTCACAATAGAAGTGATGATTATTTTAGGTTTTTCTTTACTCTTTAGGAAAAAATATGACTTTTTGTAAACATCTTCATATCTATCTTTTGAACATATTACTGAAAACTATTATTCAAATAGCATTTAAATGACATGAATAAAATATGTCTTCACACACTAACACTTTCAAAAACACAAGCATTTGTTAAAAGAAATTATTATAAATATTTTCTATCTTGCATTTTTAACTACATTTTCATAAATAACGTATTTAAAAGTGCTGAATATGGTAGGATAGTCAGCAACGCCAGTGTAAACAGAATATTTTGTTTTCTACTCTGCAATTTTTTAAAAATCCCATTTTGTCAAATACTGCAACAGTTAAAATATTTGCATAGGGAATAGATAATAGCCCTTTTATTCATGTCTCCTGAATTCTATATAAATTAGAAAATCATACTTGCTTAGAAAAACAATTTTTGAAATGTTTTAAGTTTATGGAAAAAGAAACTTACGATGCCAACCTTTCAAGTAAAATAAATTTAAAAAGAAACCCCCAAACTTGTTTTTTAAAAAATATGTTTAATAAATTAAAAAATGAGAGGTAGTTAAAAAAATGACAAAACCTGTAACTGTAATATCATCCTTAATATAAGGCCAGTGTTCTCAGTGGATATAAATCTTTTTAAAACTTTCATTTTAGGTTACTCAGTATTATATTCATTCAGTTTAATATTAAAAAAATAGTCTTCAGGGGATATTAATATTCAAATGTAACACTTTGATATAAATATGACGCTTATTATTTTAATTATCACTTTTGTGCATGACAGAATATTGTTTCCTTTAAGGTCAGAAGTACATGACAATGTCAGGCAGGTGTTTTGTCATAAAGATTTAATGTACTTATAAAAAATAATATGGCAGCTGGAAGATCTGAGCACTGTACTGCCTTTTAATGATGGATGGAAATTAATAGTTTGGTTTAAACATCTTTAAAATGTCGTCCTTAAGATATTATGTGAAAACAGTTAAGGTCTGAAGTAGAGAATCTTCTTCATAACCCTTACAAAACTTTTTCTGGTAAAAAACTTAGCTTTTCATTGGATTTCACTTTCAAGGAAAATATGCCACAGGACAGATGGTATTCATCAAAATGTTTTACAGTGCTACATGTAGGCATTCCTTTATTAAATCCTTTCCTTTATATTCCAAAACTAAGTTATCAAGCTTATTATTTTTTTCTTGCTGAAGTACATAACTTTACACAACCATTTTAAAACTGGAGAGCCAGTCTTTAATAAATTAATTACAGTATTGGACATCTGATATATACATAAATTCATTTTCTTCTGTTACAATTAAAAGCAATATCACTCTGTGATTTGTCATTGAGATAGGATATCTTCAAATTTTGTGCTTTTTTTCTTTTCTTCTTCATTTTTTTTGTTTTTGTTTTTGTTTTGTTTTTGTTTTTAGCATAGCAAACTCTCCTGTAATGAAAATGCCACAGTTTTGGCAGTGAACAACCAGAGAAATCCCTATTAGGATTTTCCAACAAACAGAGATAAATAGCTCTTTTTCATGTACAGAAATATTGGCTTCAAAATTAGCGTACTAAACACAGTATATAGAATGTTGAATACCATTGTTACATCGTAAAAATTACTTATTTTTTTGTCTTAGATTATGTTAAAAAATGCAAACCATGGCCGATTTTTTGGCAATTATTTCTTAAGACCATATTGCACAAAAGTCCTTAAACACAGATATAAGTTATGCTATTGGGTTAAATATTACAACAACTACGTGGCAAATGAAGCAGTTTTACTTTGCACATGCAGTCTCTGGAGATACACTAGGAGACTGTTTGTAGGACTACAAATACACTTCGCTTGCAAGTAGAATGAGTGTTGAATAAAACAAACAATTTGGCAATTCATTGTTTTGTGTGGTATTTTCTCCAAACTTAGCCATGGATAACCTTGAAAAAAATGGAGACAAAGACCATAATGGTTGTGTTTTCACAGTAGCCTGAGGGATGCTAAACTGTAGTTCTCCAGGAACTCAGTGTCTGATGTTATTTAACTACTTTTATTTCCCATCTCAGCCCTCCAAAATGATTGTTTTAAAATGAAAATTAAGATTCAGAAGAAGAGCCAGCAGTACTTTCAACAAATGACTTATAAATTTGAGAGTTCAAAAACCTTGGAAAAGAATCTCTGTGCATTAAAGTATATATCTGAAGTTGGGCATCTTCATACATGTGAGGATTAGGATCCAACAGATTTCTATTGATCACCTCTCTAACTCGAGAATCAAGACTGACCTAAAAAGAAACAAGAGCAAATACATTAAATAATATTTTTTTTTCAAAAGACCTCTATTAAGTAACTGTAGGTTTGTGACATTTTACAGAAACTTTAAAGAGTAAATCCAACTACCAAAAATCTTGAGTTCATCTTTTCAGACCACACAACCTTATGTACTTTTCTCCATCAAAATTTGCGTTAAATAAACAATAAAAAAATACAATTAATTCTTTTAAACCAGAAATTTTGTTTACAGATATCTTAGCTTACTTGGATTTATGGTTTTATGCATTCATTCAGGAGTTTTTAACAATTTCTAATCATGGTTGAAGTACCAGAAATTTCCTAACCAGAATATGAATTCACCTTGTCCTATTCTGTGGTTGGCAGAGGTTGGCAATATTGATACAAAGATAAAAATCTACTGGCAGAAAAGAGTTCCACGGCAGAAATTGACATGCATATAAAATGCCAATTCCCAATAGTTGCATATCCCAACAAGTCCTACTGTGTCAAAAGTAGGAAACCAAGAGTGTGGCAGGGCACGCAGTGAGCAGGTATGCTTCATATCTTACGTCTACCTGGCAGGGACTAGCAAACAGCCTTATACATCCAAACACCTCTACTAATGATGAAGCGGATCAGTTGCTTGCAGTGAAATCTTTGAGAGGAGAAACAGAAATGGGAATGCCAAATAACCATTAAGATCAATACAGTGTTATTTGAAAAGTGTACAGAAATTAAGTTCTGCAGCGATTTAGGATGTTTCCCCTTCCTCACTAAATGCAAATCCTCTTGGAACTGGTAAAACATGTTGGAAAGGGAAATGGGGAAAAATACTTGGCAGTAAGGGCATAGTTGTAGGAATAGAACTAAAGCCCCGCCCTGAAATACTGTATTAGAACAAACCCCAAAGTAGCAAACAACCAGAGTCCGGATTGTTTTCCTCAATCCTCACTATTTAGCAAGGAATAGGACCTGTGATCCATAGTGTTATTTCATGATGTATTCAGATACAAACCTTCCATATTTATATTTAAACATGTCGTCATAAGCATTCTGCAAATGCCTTTTAGTTCTGGCTTCTTTCCCCATCACTGTTTGGACTAAGTCTGGGAACTAATACAATCTCTTATTGAAGCTCCTCATATTCCATCCAGTGTCCCCAAATTCCTGAGCTCTACTACAGACCACATGGAATTGGGTTGATTGCTACACCCAGTGATGGCTACTAGATTTGTTAGATGGTAATCCAGACTACATTTCTGTGGCTTAGCCAGACCAACTGATACAGGGACACCTCATTTTACTGCACTTCCCTTTATTGTTTTTCACAGATACTGCGTTTGTTACAAATTGAAGGCTTGTGATGATCCCGTGTCAAGCAAGTCGACTGTCACCATTTTTCCAATAGCATGTGCTTACTTTGTGTGTCTGTGTCACATTTAGTAGTTCTCACAATATTTCAAAAATTTCATCATTATTATATATTTAAAGGTGATCTGTGATCAGTGATCTTTGATGTTACTCTTGTAATTGTTTTAGGAGGCCATGAACCATGCCTGTATAAGACTTAATCAATTCTTAATGAAGACTATGGTGTGTATACTGACTGTTCCACTGACCTGCCATCTCCACATCTTTCTCCCTCTTCTCAGACCTCCCTATTTCCCAAGAGACAACAGTATTGAAATTAGGCCAATTCATAACCTGCCAGTGGCCTCTAAGTGTTTAAGTGAAAGGAAGATTCACACATCTCTCACATTAAATAAAAAGCCAGAAATGGTTGGTTAAACTTAGTGAGGAAGGCGTGTCAAAAGCTGAGACTGGCCAAAAACTAGGCCTCTTTTGAAAGTTAGCCAAGTTGTGAATGCAAAGGACATGTTCTCAAAATTAAAAGTGCTACTCCAGTGAACACGTGAATAAGAAAACAAAACAGCCTGTTGCTGAAACGTAAAAAGTCTGAGTCGTCTGGACAGAAGATCAAACAAGTCACAACATTCCCTTAAACCAAAGCCTAATCCAGAGCAAAGTCCTAACTCTCTACAATTCTGTGAGGACAGAGAGGTAAGGAAGCTGTGTAAGAAAAGTTTGAAGCTCGCAGAGGTTGGTTCATGAGGTTTAGGGAAAGAAGTCATCTCCATAACACAAAAGCTCAAGGTGAAGCAGCAAATGGCTGATGTGGAAGCTGAAGTAATTTATTCAGAAAATCTAGCTAAGATAATTGATGGAGGTGGCTACACTAAACAATAGGTTTTCAATACAGACAGCCTTATATTGGAAGAAGGTGCTATCTAGGACTTTCAAAGCTAAAGAGAGGTCAATGCCCCATTTCAAAGATTAAAGGACAGGCTCACTCTGTTGTGAAGGACTAATATAGCTGGTAACTTTAAACGGAAATGAATGCTTATTTACCATTCTGAAAATCCTGGGGCCCTTAAGAATTATGTGAAATCTACTCTGCCTGGGAACTATAAATGGAACTGAGGAAAGAGACCCAGGTGTCTGGGATCAACTTCCCTTTTGACTGCCGCACTGCATTTCAATAGAAGAAAAGGCTGATCAACTGGCGCCTCGTGATTCACCTTCCTGTAGGTGGCAGGCTTGGTCTTGGGAAAACTCTGGAAGACACTGTTTTTACTTAAAACAAGATCAAACCCCAAACGTTTTCACATGTGAGCCCTAAAACTATAAACCGAAACCCTTTCATATGTGATTCCTGAAGCTGTAAACCAAAACCCTTTCATATATGATTCCTGAAGCTGTAAACCGAAACCCTTTTCAGATGTGATTCCTGAAGCTGTAAACTGAATCCCTTTTCATATGTGATTTCTAAGGCTGTAAACCTAAGATTCTTCCACATGTAATAGCTAAAGTATAAGCCTATATAGAGGCAGAACCTTCCTTTGTTAGACGAGCTGAATTTGGACAAATTATTCCTCAGCTCCTGGCTGTAATAAAGACCTCTTCCTTCTCCATTAGGTGTTCCGGAGCTCTGTTTCTTGTGGCCACTCCTGCTACAGAACAACAAAGCCTAGATGACAGCACACCTGTTTAAAGCATGGCTTACTGTATATTTTAAGCCCACTGTCAAACCCTACTGCTCAAAGAAAAAAAGATTCCTTTTCAAGTTTTACTGCTCATTGACAATGCTCCTGGTCATTCAAGAGCTTTGATGAAGAGGTACAAGGAAATTAGTATTGTTTTCATGCCTGCTAGCACAACACCCATTCTGCAGCCCATGGATCAAGACGTAATTTCAACTTAAATATTATTTAAGAAATACATTTCATAAGACTACTGCTGCCATGAATAGTGATTCCTCTGATGGATCTAGGCAAAGCAAATGAAAAACCTGGAAATAGTTCACCATTGTTTTCATTAAGTACATTTGTGATTCATCGAAGGAGGTCAAAATATCAACATTAACAGGAATTTAGAAAAAGTTGATTCCAACTCTCCTGGATGATTTTGAGGAGTTCAAGACTTCACTGGAGGAACTAACTACAGATGTGGTGGAAATAGTAATAGAACTAGAATTAGAAGTGGAGCCTGAGGACTTCTTTAAAGAATTGGGACTTGCTTCCTATGGATGAGCAAAGATGATTTCTTGAGATGAAATCTATTCCTGGTGAAGATGCTGCAACATTGTTGAAGTGACAACAAAGGATTTATATTACATAAACTTAGTTGATAAAGCAGCAGCAGGGTTTGAGAGGATTGACTCCTATTTTGAAAGAAGTTCTATTTTGGGTAAAATGCTACCGAACAGCATTACATGCTACAGAGAACTCTTTTACTAAAGGAATTCAGTCGGTGTGGCAAAATTCATTGCTGTCTTATGTGAATAAATTGCCACAGCCACCCCAACCTTCAGCAACTACCACCCTGATGAGTCAGCAGCCATCAATGTCAAAGTGAAACCCTCCCTCCACCAGCAAAAAGATTATGACTCTCTAAAGGCTCAGATGATTGTTAGCAGTTTCTACCAATAAGATATTTTAAAAATTAAGGTGTGCACATTTTAAAGACATGCTGCTGTTGCTATGCTATTGCTAAGTATTGTTTATACTATGACTACAGTCATATGCATTGGGAATCCAAAATAATTGTGCAATTTGCTTTATTGTGACTGCTTTATTTCAATTATCTGAACCTGCAGTATTGCTGAAACAAGCCTGAAAACATGACTTGGCTGAACTACACATTTGTCTTTCTTGGGAATTCTATGAAAATAAAAATTTTCTGGAAATGAATTGTTCAGTTTTCATTTTTTGTTATTACCACATGAGGTCACTATCAAGTACAAAGTAATTTTTAAAAGTACAGAATATTTTTCCCCAAGGTTTTTATTTTATCTAAAAATATATTTTTGTGTTTATATGCCAGAGAGAAATGTTGACACTGGAGTTTAAAGTGATTTATCTTATTCTGAAACATCATGTTATGGTAAGGTGAATTCTTAACAAACACACTCCTCCGTTTTTAGAAATGGTGCTTCCTTTCAAACTTGAGAGAACTTTTGGTTTCAATGGAGCAGGAAACCTTACATTAGTGATTACAAAAAGAGGGCCATTTACTTCTTAAATAATAGTATCATTAAATATAGTATGAAAGTTTGTTCTCAGTGGATGGAATTGTATTATCTTAAGACAGATAATATAAACTATTAAATCTTATGTCCTCATTGTTTAATTTTTAATTTTTTGCAAGCTAAAAACAGTAGTGAAATATTGTAAAGTCATACAGTTCAAGATTTAGTAATCTATAACAAAGATGCATTTGTTATTTCTATTTAAAGAATGAAATATTTACCTTAATATCAAGTTGTTTGTCTGAAAAAGCTGTCGATCAGTCAAAAGAAGTGTAGCGAGGTCAAATAATAAGGATAAACCCCATTGGGATAACAATCTATTGTTTCATCTTGTGGCATCTTTGTGCTTCAGAATGTGGATCATCTATAATACAAGGTATTGGTGGTGGATCCCAGTTGGGCCTGGGCAACAGTCACCCTAGGATTCAGATGTGTCTGGATGGCTTATAAAGCCATCTTATCTGGGCTCCATTGCATGAGGAACTGAGGAATTTCCTGTATAGAACTCATCCTAAGGGAAAAGAAAGTTGAGGAGGACAAGACAAGAGCTATCCTCGGGCAATGCAAGTCTCCTCTAACTCAGGCCACATAGACTAATACCTAGGTGGTGTAAAGAGAAGAGCACATTACAGCAATAACAGAATTTATAGCCATGTAGCACAGTAGCACCACTATTGTGAGACAGGACACAAGACAACATGATAGGTTTGGCAGTGTTTAACTGGCAGTTTTAGCAGTGCTGAGGAGTCCGGCAATGTTGAGACAGAGCAACTGAAGTTGTAAAAAGACACATGTGACTTTGCAATAGGTCTGGGTGAACTTGGAAGCATTCATTCCCACAGGGAGTAGGAGACAGGGAAGAAGAAAAGCAAGGGACTTGCAAGCAAAAAGTAATGAGAGCGAAGTATTCAACAAGAATATGGAAGAAAAGTGAGGAGAATGAAGATAGAGAAATTCTGTTAGCGTGGCTTGGGAAAATCTGGGCTAAACTGAGTCATATACCCTAGTTAATCTAATTCGATTTCCTATTCATTGAAGAGGATACGAAGGTAGTTTAGCATTGCTGAAAGGGAGCAGACCAACTTTGACCCTGCCTTTTTATTTTAGTCATCGAGCTGGAAGGGAAAATGTGATCCTACGGACTTTTTGGCATAATGATACAAAAATAACTAATTTTCACTGAAAGTCTTTCTCACCATAGAGAATCCTCCTTTATGTTGTTTAATTCCCTGAATAATGTTTTTCATGTATCACATCCAAATGTTTTCTCCATTTTTCCCTATCTTATTTTTAGTGTCAGTAAAGTTTCTTTATTTAGAATTTCTTTCCAAGTAAAATTTGGAATATTTTTTCCCTTTATAAGTCCATATCAAATTTTACCAATTATAACATCTGCCACTGGAAATTTTCTTTTCTGCTTTTAATTTGAACCAAATTTGGTATTCCTATGTTAAATTTTATAAATCTAAAGAATGCATGATTCTCTCAATTTTAATAAATTTTTACTTTGTATACATTTAGTCACATACTATTTTGTGCTGTTATTTCTACTGAAAATAATTAACACATTGCAAATAGACCAATTGTTTGAATTTATCTCTTAGGACAAAGATTATTGGTAGGGTAAACTGTAATGTCACATTCTTGGTGGTGTCCAGATGATAGGAAAGTAGATCCTGCTGGTCTAGGGCAGGGTTCAGGCCTGTGGTTAAGGTTGCTATTTCTCATCATGTGTGAAGTTCTATGGTTGGGTTTATGGAGATCTATGGTAACATCATGAAGAAAATATTAGGCAATGGAAGAACCAGTCATCACATTGGAGTTGGAAAAGCACCGTATGTGGAATCAGAAGATCTTGGGCTTCCATTCTACCTCTACCAGATATATTTCTAATTTCCTCAAACATTCATTTTACCTCTTTAAGAGTCAGTTTCTGGGAGGCCAAGGTGGGCAGATCACAAGGTCAGGAGATCGAGGCCATTTTGACCAACATGGTGAAACCCTGTCTCTACTAAAAATACAAAAGTTAGCTGGGTGTGGTGGCACATGCCTGTAATCCCAGCTACTCAGGAGGCTGAGGCAGGAAAATTGCTTGAACCAGGGAGTTGGAGGTTGCAGTGAGCCGAGATCGCGCCACTGTACTCCAGCATGGGCAACAAGAGCAAGACTGTCTCAAAAAAAGAAAACAAAATTAGTTTATTTTGCTGTAAAGTGGTAGCAACTGTTGTGGCTGAAATATTGTTGTGAGAGTAAGATTGTAATAATATATGCAAGACCACTGTGACAATAATGAGGCCAATGTAAAGTAATTAATAATAATTGATCATAATTATGACATCACCTTGATCAAACCCAATGAGTTTGGCTTTTGCACCAACTTGAATTTTACCTTCTGGGAGTGACCTTACCTAACTACCTGTATTCCATCTAATTCAATATCCACCCTAACACAATTTTCAGTTACTTGTTTCAACAAGATTTTTCTGTCTTCCTAAAATGTAAACTCCATTAAGGGATTAATCAGTGTCTCTTGTTCATCATCATATCCCCAAAATCTAGTCCAGTGCTTGGCTCATATGAAATAGTCAATATTTTTTCAATGATAATATGCATGTGTAAAGAAATACATTTATGAAAATACAGTGAAGTGAGTTCTGTTTAGAAAAACTGTCTTAAGTCTTTGAATGTGCTAAATTCACATACTTTCACTTGAAGATACATCTACATGCACACACAGAATCTGCATGTCTATCACATAAGCATTATTTTTTAGATTATTCTGGTGTTTAAATAGGTCTATTGCTTTTTTCTCTCAGATAGTAACTGGGAATTTAGAAAAATCAGAAAAAGCAAACTTCTACTACTATTAAAATTACCATTCTCCAGAGCTTGAACATCATAGATTTGGTGGGTTTTTAAGCTTTCTCCATGCCTTCATTCATAACACTAGGACATGGAGGTTCCAGAGCACTGAAGTGAATTTCTAAGTGGCCCACAGATGTAAATGACAGATCAAGTTTATAGTCCTGGTAGTGACAATGTCATCACTAGGCAGATTTCTACATCACTGGACCACAGTTTTCTTCAGTTCAGATAAATGTCTTACATTTGTTGAAGGATTTATAATTATTTCTTTCTTCAATAGCTCAGTGCAGTTTACAGTTGATAACCTTTAAATATATTTTTTATTCAGGTTCTTTATTTTGCTAGGTTTGTCTTTTGATATAGTTTAGATGTTTGTTCCCACCCTAATTGCATGTTGAAATGTAATCCCCAGTGTTGGAGATGGGGTCTGTTGGGAGATGACTGGTTCATAGAGGCGGATTGCTCATGAGTGGTCTAGCACCATCTTCTCGGTGTTGTCCTTGTGATAGTGAGTGAACTCTTGTGAGATCTGGTTATTTAAAGGTGAGTGGCACCACCCCGCCCCTTGCTCCTGCTTTGGATATGTGATGTGCTTGCTCCCGCTTCATCTTCTGCCATGATTATAAGCTTCCTCAGTCCTCCCTAGAAGCTGAGCTGATGCCAGCACCATGCTTCCTATGAAGCCTGCAGAACTGTGAGCCAATTAAGCCTCTTTTCTTTATAAATCACTCAGTTTCAGGTATTTCTTTATAGCAATGCAAGATTGGCCTAACACATCTTTTCAATAATAAATATAAGCTGCCACCAAACTCTGCTACATGTAGCAAGTCTATATTAGGCCTCAAGGCCTCTTCATTATCTTCATTTGTTTTCCCCTTGAAGAGATCATTTCTTAAAAGTTTACTTTTTAAACAAAGGATATTTCTTGTTTAAATTTCTAGATTTTCTTTTTAAATTTGGCCTTTTCCTTCACAAAATGTACACTATACCAAGAAGAGAAGTTATATCAACTCCTAATTGCAAATATTCTAATTGCAAATATTTTATAACATAATGCTCCAATTATTACAAATGCATAAAACATGCTCTTAAAATAATGAAATGTAATTTTTTGCACATTGACTTCAATAGTTTCATTAAGGAAAAAGTTATCGATACATAATTTTTTTAAATGTAGGTTTTTTCCTACATTTAACAAAAAGGAACACAACATTCAATCAAATTAAGGTAAAATAAAAGTCTAGTGAAGAAAAATGCCATTCTGTTCAATAATAAAATCATGACAACTTTTAGTCATTACCATTTTATAATGATTCAAATGTTTATGTTCTTTAAAAATATTCTGAATAAGTAGAAACTTATATAGAATTTCACAGGTAGAAAGCTCAGATTGTTCAGCCCCAAAATGAGAAATAGGAACTCATATATTAACTGCTTTGAGTACTATGTTTAAATAGATTCTGAGGTTCAGTGTGGGGACAGCAGTAATGAGGACCATGATGGATAAGCTATGCCCTTAGGTGGAGAGGATGAAGAAGTAGCACAAATACTCTGAATAAGTAGAAACATGTATAGAATTTCAGAGGGAGAAAGGCCAGAATGGCCTGACACATCTTTTCAATAACTTCATAGCCTTACAGTTGCCATTATGCATTTAGTTAAGTTTCTGTGCTTATTTTTATTGTTATTTTTGTAAACAAATGAACTCAATGTTAAGACTCAGAGAAGTGAAGTGATTTATTCCAGGCCACACAACTGGGTTGTGGCAAAGGCAGGATTAAAATCCTGTGCACCTGAATAGTAGTCCAGTGCTCTAACTCGTATAATCAGGGCTCTCTCGATCTTACATGTGCTGTCTCTAATGTTAGAAAACAAAATTTGAAGAGTGATAACCCGATGTCATAAGTTAGTAATGTATTGTGGCTGATTAGAAATGGATGACTTTTTGTATAGGAAGTTCAGTGAGGTATAACAGATAAAAGGGGCTCTGGAATAGCTGGAAAGTGCATGCCACACGCTGCGTGTATCAGTGAGTTCAGTCAATGAACATGATACCTTGTTTAAAACAAAGCTTTTTAACAATTATCTTTTGTAACTGAAAATAACTACTTTTGGCTATTTGTTTTTTTCCGTTAAACAATAATCCATTTTAATTACTATGTTGATGTGTAGAAATAAGCTGGCTAAACAATGGCACTTCAGTGGTCTATTAATTTAGATTATCAAGAGTTAATTACAAGTCAGCAAAAGGGTAACAATTTGAATTTCACCTCTCTGTCTCTTCCTCTCTATGATATTTTGAGGATATTAAAGAATGAGCAATGGCCAAAATAATGGGTATCGAGAAACATAAAGGAGAGAATAAATATGGTCACAACACTAAATATTAGCGCATGTAATTCTGAAAAGTTCATATTCTTGATCAGGAAATGAGATTTTAGTGACTTTCTGGTGAAAGTTGTGCTAAAAATAAAGAAAGTAGATGAAAATGGCGGGGTGCAGTGGCTCACACCTGTAATCCCAGCACTTTGGGAGGCCAAGGCAGGCAGGTCACTTGAGGTCAGGAGTTCGAGACCAGTCTGGCCAACACGGTGAAACCCTGTCACCACTAAAAATTTAAGAAATAACCAGGTATGTTGGCGGGTGCCTGTAATGCCAGCTACTTGGGAGGCTGAGGCAGGAGAATTGCTTGAACCCAGGAGGTGGAAGTTGCAATGAACTGAGATGGCACCACTGCACTCCAGCCTGGGCAACACAGTGAGACTCCATCTCAAAATAAATAAATAAATAAATAAATCAGATGGAAACAAATCTCTATTACTTTAGCAAAAAGAATGAAAACCCACTAGTTGATATTTAAATAATCACTATTGTGACTCTAAACATGGCTTAAAGAGGAAAAATTAAGTATTTTACAAAGTGCCATCAATCAGTGACATCAGAAAATCAGGGGGCTGTGTGGATAATAAGAAAATGTTTCACACAAAAAACTAAACATGAAATAACAGAAACTGTAAACATAAGGGAATTACATGTACATGGTATTGAGACTATTTTTCTCCTAACACTGAAAAAGAACGGAACAGTCATCATTTTAAGATGATACAAATATAGAACAAAGGAATGGACTAAGTAATATAGACAACTATCACTAAGATGTCACATCTTACATACTTTGGGGGCAGAAATAAGATAGTCTTCCCAAGGATTGTCATTTTGTATAATTATAGGCAAAAGAAGCACATAGTTGGGAACATTTGGATCATCTGGTTTATTTGCCCTATGGAATAACTTTAAAATAATAAAAATTAGCATAAAATTATTATATTGATAAAATCTGAGTTGTTCAGATGCTAAAATTCAACCACATACTGAAGAATGTAGTTTTAGAATTATGCTGGTGTTAGAAATACAGTGTGACATCAGTAACAAATGTGTTGAGGCTACACATTTACTACTGATGTCACATTGTATTACATTTATTAAATTTTCCCCACCTTGTTTTGATGAATACATTTTTCACGTTCATGCAGGAAATAAAAAAAGTAAATCAATCTTTTGTGCATCTAATTCTAGAAGCGTTCTCATTTTGTACAGACAGTAGTCCTCAGGCACTCTGGAATACCAATGGCACTTTAACCTAACTAATAAAAAAATCTAAATAATTTAGGTACTGTATATATTATTAGAAGTGAAATACTTTATGTAGCATTCCAAACTTAGAGATTAATAAAATAGACACAATTCCTTTTACAGATCTCAAAGCAAGGAGTGTAAGGCCGCCTGGGACCACGCCAAGTATTAGAGGAGGCACATATGACCACAGCCCATAAGTGTTCAGGTGTACAAGGGAGGGGCATGCCATTTAAATGCAAAGGTAAAGATCAGTCATTTAGGAGAAACAAAAAAGACAAAAAGAGGCTGGGATGGAAAAGAGAAGACATTCTAGGAACCTCTATGTTCTCTAAGTGCTTTGAAGGCCTCTGGAGCTCCATCACTCAGGGCTCCAAGGGCCTGGTCACACTATTAACCAATCCTTCACCAAATGCTTTTAACTCTGTTAACTGGAACATTTCTCAAGAACAAATTAAGTTTTAAAAAGTCAATGGAAAACTGCTATTTGGTTGCTAGAAGTATTGCTTATTGATTAGGTACATTCTGGCAATGGGAAAGAAGCTTACACTTTCAATAAGAGGAAATCTAGAATAAGTAAGATAATTTCCATTTCCCACCTAAGAATATTAGTGGTCATCAAGGCTCAGTTTTCATTTCTGTAAAAATTCAATCATAAACATCAACAAACATGTCAGATTTTTTTGGAGTCCCTATACTAGAGGTTTTCCAACTAGTATGTATGTGGAAAACTTGTTAAAAGTGCAGATTTCTGGGCCCTATTTCCATAAATTCAGACTTAGAAGTCCTGGTTAGGCCTTAAGAATTTGTTTTTTAAACAAATGCTCCAGGTGATTCTCATTCACATGATCTAGGGGTTATGCTTTGGGAAATGCCACCCTAAAATAAATTCTCTCTTTCCATTTTCTTTTGTCACAGCAAATTGTGTTTAAGCAGGCTCTTTAGTGTTAGTTCTGAAAAGCAAGTGGACTACCACACCAGTGAGCTAGAGATAAACAGTCAAAGCGTAGGGGGGAACCCTAGCCTTCAAACATGTGTCCACGGAGATTCTTCCAATGACAGCTGAATTCTCTACCCAGTGAGTTCTTCTACCCGCTCCACATCCCATGCCCTACCCAATCTGGACAGCCATCCCTTGAGGGTTAGCCTTGGTCCTAGAAAGCCCACCTCAATGTTTTCCAGATTTTTACCTCTTTTGGTGATAGTATAGAAATGTAATCTTCATATATCATTCTAGCCTTTTCTTCGATTACTTTTTTGTTCTGCTCTTTCTTTAAGTCTTCACAGGCAAGCCAGAAAAGTAGGTTCTCTTCACTGTATTCTGTTCGTAGGAACTCTCTGAAAAGGTTTCTTCCTGCTGGGGCCTTCATCATCTTGTCAAAATTTTGAGACCAAGACAAGACTTCCTCCGCAGTGGGGTTTTGGCTGCAGAGACAGAATGGGGCCATGATCAAAGGGAACTTTGGTGAATGCTAGACCAAATAAGGAGAGTAGTAGACAGACATTTTATATCAGGCCCCGCATGGTGGCTCATGTCTGTAATCCCAGTACTATGGGAGGCCGACGCGGGCGGATCCCAAGGTCAGGAGATCGACATCATCCTGGCCAATGTGGTGAGACCCCGTTTCTACTGAAAATACAAAAATTAGCTGGGCGTGGTGGCGCATGCCTTTACTCCTAGCTACTCAGGAGGCTGAGTCAGGAGAATCGCTTTAACCTGGGAGGCAGAGGTTGCAGTGAGTCAAGACTGCGCCACTGCATTCCAGCCTGGCAACACAGGGAGACTCCGTTTCAAAAAAAAAAGAAAAAAAAAGAAAAAAGAAAAAAGAAAAAAAAAAGAAAGAAAGAAAAGAAAAAAAAAAAGAAAGAAAGAAAAGAAAAGAAAAGAAAAGAAAAAAAGATATCCTGTCAATTTTCTGCCATCTAGTGGTCAGTATTTTGTCACTCAGTCCAGCCTGATCTGGCAAGATCTGCTAGGACTAGGTCAGTTATTTCTGGGTTTTGACAAAAATTCATGCAAGCATAAGAGGCGTCTAGGGAGCCAAGCATTCAAATAGCAACATAATATGCATGCAGTCATCATATATTCCTAATGAGGCTGGGAAATGTTCAACCTTTAACAATATGCTGCAAGTTGACAATAACAGTCTGTAAGTGACTTAGGACAAACTGAATGTTTTTCTTTGCCTCTAATCAGGATTTCAGTTTTCCAACCATAAGATAGTTTTTTTTTTCTCATCTCTAGTGGCCTTTTCATTTGTCACTTGGTTTAAAGTAACAATATGCTGTGTGCACTTGTCATATATTTTCCTAAACTTTAATAATTTTTCTGCTGGGCATGGTGGTTCATGCTTATAATCTCAATGCTTTGGAAGGCTGAGGTGGGAGGATCTCTTGAGGCCAGGAATTTGAGGCTAGCCGGGAAACATAGCAAAACTGTCTCTGGAAAAAAGTTTAAAAATTAGTTGGGTGTGGTGGCATGTGCCTGTAGTCCCAGCTACTTGGGAGTTGAGGCAGGAGAATCACTTGAGCCAGGACCTTGAGGTTACAGTGAGCTATGATCATGCTGCTGCACTCCTGGCTAGGCAACAAACTGAGATCCTGTCTCTAAAAAAAAAAAAAAGATTTTTTTTTAAATGAAAAGTTATGTACAAATTGTTAGTCATGAATGGAGTTATCACAGTTGGAAGCAGAAGTCTTCTATAATGTCATTGATATTGTGAATTTAAAACTATGTACAGATTTTTTAATGACTATGTGACTGCAAAAACCTCCAGTAATTAATCCACTTGCTTATACATTAAAGAAGTAGAAGAGAGAAGCTTGGAGAGTCTTATGTTAAAATGATTCTGATCTTCCTTTCCTATTCAATGATCTATTTAATAATTTTCCAACCTAAAAGACATTTGGCCAAAGAAGTACAAATATATATATATATATATGGTTATATATATGTAACCTTATTGACCAGGTATTTCAATTAGATTCTTACTATTGCATAATGTATGTATTTCCTCATTCAATTAATTTTTTTAATTTTAAAAAGCTTAACAATTACCATGAAACATCATTATTAAAACCTTCTCATAAAAAGCTGAAAAAGAAAGCACTTAAAATTATATGACTGGTCTATTTGTATTTTGATTTTAGTCCATAGGTACCTCTCATTTGGGAGGAAACACCTGGGAGAGTCTGCTCTGGTGGAAATGGAACCAGGAGTCGGCTGGGTGCCCTTCCTTACTGACTTGGATGTTCCATGTTTTAAATTCTCAGAAATGAGAAGTAATGAATTAGGGCAATTTTTTTGTACAGGATATGATAATCTTTATTTTTTTAAAGAGAAAAGTAAATTTAGAACCATGTTTTAGCCAATAACTTCACATTGCTAATAGAAAAATTGCTGAAAAGCAACTGCAATGACAAAATAAGATCTTCTAGTTGGAATTTGCATTTACTTCCCAAAATCATTTTAAAGAGTACCATGAAGCAAGAGGTAATACTTAGGCATGCAGTAGATGTAAATGGCATATAAATATAAATACAGTAGCTATGTGGTTCACACACTCACCATTCCTCTAGGACCTGGATACTCTCCATTTTTGTAGTGTGTGTGGGTCTTCCCGCATTTTCCCCTCTTTCTTCATTCCTAACAGTGAGGCTGTAATGTAGCAGAACATTTAATTTTGTCAAGGAAAATTCATCAGTTGAAGAAAAGAATAAATGTTTCTGGAGAAACATTTCACAGGCGATCTTATATTCAACTATGTGAGAATACTTAAAGTATAAAAAGAGCAATGCCATTTTAAATGATGGGTAAGCCCCTGTCAACTAAAGGGAGGAGAATAATTTTTAAATAAAATTATGAAGTAAATCAGACTCTCAAAAGTGGATATCGTTAAGTATTCTGACTTCATCCTTACATAATCTGAATTATTTAATATTTCTGATACATGATTAATGCTTTAATATTTGAAATACATATAAATAATCACCTTACTCTTTAAACAAAAAGTCATTTTGATTTTTGGTTAATTCTATTCATAGTCTGTTTTCCATTATTTTTCCCCCATTGAGAGCTAAGATAAAATGTGTCAGAATCTAATGCAGATTTTGCTAAATTTACATCATCCTTCCCTGCAGACCAAGCTATTGTTGCCAATAATATCATTCCTTCAATTGCTAAAATCAAGCTGGATTTATACTTGACTTTGTTTTTGCCCTTTCACCTTAGTAAATCAATCTCCGATGTCTTGAAAGGGACAGACCAGTAACTGAGTGTTTGGAGCACGTGAACACTGGGTGGTAGGGGTCTGTGTCTATGTGGCACAGGTTTGGGAATTCTACAGCATCCTAGAGAACAGAGGATAATGCTGAAGGTTTTAGTAGCTCAGAACAAGAATAATTATAAAAATTGTCCAATTCAGATAAATGGTAGCTGAGCAGTGCTTTACAGTGGAACACTCAAAATTCTAGGCATAGACTAGACATAACAGGGAAGGTTATGGGAGATACTAACAAGCAGGGCAGGGAGGGTAACTCAGTGGGTTGAGAAAATTTGAGCTCCCGAATTAGCTAACTGATCCCTCTGTCGAGAAGCCAAGGAGCTTCATAAGAGCTTGGCAGAGAGTCCAAGAAGTTCAGATAACATCTCTTATTTGTTCCTGCTTTCACTTATTTACTCAAAATAAGAGGCAATGGAAACGATGATTTTCTAATGCCGTTATGTGACAGGCACCATTCTTTTACCATTAAGATTATTATCCCCATTTTACAGATAAGCAAAGTGAGGTGCAGACCCATCTGGGAGGTTGGCCCCAAACTGAACAATACTTAGGTGGTATAGTTGGAATTGGAAGCCTACTCTGCTAAACAATCCTGTATCTCTGACTGCCCACTATGAACCAGGGCTGCTGACAGGCACTGGGGTCACAGACCACTTACTATGAGAATGCAGAGAAGGGTCACTAAACATGGTTGGTGTGGAAAGAAAGTGTTCAGGAAGAGGTGCCCAACAAACAGTTATTCTCAATCTGGAAAGTCTGATAAGAAAGTCTGATAAGAGAAACCAAGACAATCTCCCTAATTCATTTTTTCATTCTCAAGTCCAAGGATGAGGATGGAGCAAAGGGAGTAATTTCAGGAGGAGGAGCCTGATGAGTGGGCAAATCTACAACAGAAAGTGAGGCTGGATAGGAAAACTGACCTGAGAGAGCAGAGTCACTGGAAAAAAGAGAACCCAACAAGAATCGAAAAGGATTCTATAGTCAGGAAAAGGACACTCCATAGAAAACATAGGCTTTCATAGTGAAATATACTGATTTTGCCTCTACCCATTTCTAGGGACAGGGGCAGGTTTATTGGTGTAGAACGGTGGAGGAAAAGGTAGTGTAGCCCAAAGGATTCTGGGGAACAGAAATTGGAGTGGATGGTCCCTCTGACCCACTGCTCTTTGACTAGACCCCTGCGGGAGGCAGCAGTCCCATGGTTAGAGACAGCAAAGCCTTCAGTGTAGTGCACTTGTGGGGAGGAATTCAGAAAGAGTGCATAATATTTTAGGTATCTGTGTGTGAGTGCTGTGAATGTGTCTGTGGCTTGAGATAGCCTAGGAAACCTCAGTCCTCCGTGTCACTAAACAAATAGGTCAGATAAGTGTTTTAGAGGAGATTCACTAAGAAGTAAGAAAGAGTTCTTCTCTAGAGTTCAATGTATTTCCAGTATTGATGGGAAAAGTGGGTGGGGAGGGGTACACTACTGACAATATTCTGTAAAACTTCCTGTACATATGAAATGTACAATTTTTAAGTAAATTCTATTCAACTATTTTTAAAAGAGGAAATTGCAACTCATTCTGCCAAACTTCATTAAGCTTATACTTGTGTGTGCAAACACATATTAAGGCACTACAGCATGACTAGGAAAAGAGCTCTCATTCCCTGCTTAAATAATAAACTCATTGAGTTTATTTTTATTACATTCCCACACAGTGTCCCACAGAAGGCAGTACATAAGATGCAGGTATACTTCGTTTCATTAAACATCTTTGAGAAATTTGCTTTCCATTGTGCCTTTGCTGTAGAGTGACAAATCTGGAGCCCATAGGTATGACTGACGAATTTCTGAACATGAATTCTGGCTCTTCTATCTGTTTCTGTGATATTTACAAACATCCCAAATGCTACCATATTAGAGCAATCATTATGAAATATTGGTTGAGTTTACATCTTTCTTTTCTACAGATGGTAAAATATGAACACACATTTGGACTAAAACTACTTATAACAGACATTCAGTAAATGCTTAACTATTCAGTTTGTGCAACTCTTGATCTAATATCGAACACAATCTTGCCCTGTAGAAAGAGGAATTGAACTTTGGCAACAGACAAGTTGTCCTTTTTATTAACTTCCCTTTACTACTGGTCTTAAAAAATGAATTTCAAGATTTCAGTTATCAGGAACTGCTAAAAATATCATTTTAAGTTAAAGAGAAATGGAGAAAATAGATAAGGGATTGATACTTAGCTGTTTGCCTGTCTTGATATTGATGAATGGCTGTCCTACTTGGTCCTGCTCCAAGTAGTACAGTTTTTTTAAGGTAATAATTTACCGGAAATATTTGCTCTAGATCAGCTTACATATGTTATATGTGTTTGAGGAAAGCCCTAAAAGGAAAATACCAGATCAACAGTTTTGAGGGGTCCCACAGAGATACCTTTTTTTATTTAGCCCATATCTCTCCAAGAATAGACACTGACTTTTATGTATGCAGCATTTAAAACTAACATTTCTATGTTTTAAGCAATAAAAGCTACAAAGAGAACTAAATGCATATACAATGTTCACTGTGGGGGTCTTGATCAAAGCTTAAATACTTTATGGAAGAAAAGTGCTGATATCCTAAATATAATAAAATAAGCATTTAAAATCCCATTAGAGATTTTTCTAGAATAGTGACTTTGAAATGGTACATTTCAGTGAAAAACACTTGGTACATTTCAGATATTAAAAAAATGTGCCCCCATGCTCTGTGGGTGGATTGTTTGTTTATAGGGGAGTGTGGATGTTGGGGTGAGAAAAAACACTACTTGCTGCCAATTATAGAGTTTACCTACTGATCTGTCATCATAGATATGTGCAGGGTCTATTTTGGAAGATAGTCTTCTGTTGTAAGGAAAACAATTGGTTCTTAAGAAAAACTGTTAAAATGGTTGCAAAGAAGATGAAAACTTATCAGTAGCCATGGTAACTTTGGGATAGAGGCTAGTCACGAAACCACATATATTTACAGAAAAATTAAACTGAAGAATCAATAAGATGCCTCAATTTAATACAGTGTGACATCAAGGCTCCAAGAGAGAACTACTGTCACTGGTGAAAGCAGTCTATTCAATATTGAAATATTCTCACATTGTGATATCAATCTTTTCTTTTCATTTAACAGCTTCTACCTCAGAGTTCCTGGTGCTAAAATGAAATCAACATCCCTCAGGCTCTGAAAATGAATTGGTAGATTATTCTTTAAATATTTCATTTTCAGCATTTTCAAGATATCACAGTAAATCCTATAGCTTTTCTTCAGGAGTTAGCAATAATTTACAAATGTGTATGAAACATTGGTTCACGCAACGTTGCCTGGGTTGGACATACAAGATGAATACGACAAAAGCTCTGCTACTGAGGAGCTCAGACGGGTAAATAAACATCACATGGCATTGTGATAAGAACTCAAATAGAGTTGTGCTTATGGGGTGACTTAGACACCCTTGATGGTACTTGTGCTTTCGATTAAGAGAATTGGGAAAAGCTTCACAGAAGAAATAATGATTAAATTGGGTTGAAAATGAGCAGTTGTTTGCCAGATGGAGACCTGGACAAAGGGGATCTCAATTAGAGTGGGGATAAAATCGTGTAGGGACACGATATTAATGTAGAACACAATGAACACATCAGGTGTTGCAGAGCAGTACCAGGAGATTAAAATAGGTAGCAAAGCATGTGTTATCCAAAAAAATGATGAGGTGGACTCCAAATGTAGAGGCAGCAGGTCATGTTTTTTTCTCACCCCACTATCCACACTCCCTTGTAAACAAACAGACAATCTACCCACATAATGAGGGGGTGGCGCATTTGCCACCCCTTAATTTCTTTAAGGTTTGGAAAAATAAACCTCCTAGTACAAACCAGTGCATTGAGTCTGAATGCCCTCTATAAGGCATCATCCCACAAACCATCCTTTAGGGTGGTCTAAGCTTTCCATGCTTTGTTTTCACCATTCATAATGGGGATAATAGCAATGACCTACTTCACAAGGATGTAAAACAAAAAATAAAAAGCTGGTGACAAAAAGGCACATTATTACAAATGCCTAGTTGCATGAAGGGCAAGTTGGTTGCATATTAAAATTTAATTCTAAATTTACCAAAGAGCTTTTTATTTCCACCTGAGTAAATAGAGACTTTCCTTTTGCCATTATTACAAAACACTTCTTCATACATTACCTTGTAACTTCCTCCTCACAATAGTCCTTGAAGGTAAGCAGGGGAGTTGTGATTAGTCATTCTTGTTTGATTTATCAGGAAACAGTCATCGGGGCTGACTTACACAATACCCACAACTTGAATTTATCAGAACTAGGATTGGAATTCACATCTTCTGACTT